GGGGGGGGAGGTGGGGTGACTAAGGCAAACCGCGAAAAGTCGGCAGTCAGAAACTGCTCATTGCCCTTTACCAACTGGTGGCGTAACAGAACAACAACGCCTTACGAAGACCGACGGAACGACGGCGAAGATAGTCAACAGTGGAATGACTACCCCCTCTAAACGGAGAAGGCAGGCAGCCCGATGACACTAGAGCACGTCAGAAAAGACTCCACCAGAACGACACCGCCAGTGGGAGCTTACAGTCGCAAACTCGAATATATTCTCACTCAGAGGGAAAGAACAAGACTTAGTTGACGAGCCCATTAACTACCAACTCGACTTTGTTGGACTCTCGTCAACGAAGAGCCAGGGATCTGGAATCGTGAACCACAGCGGGTGGAATCTGTTCTACTCACGTGTCGATATCACGTCGCGCGCTCAGGCGGTGTTCTGGTAGAACTCAGTCTCGCGGAGAGAATCATTGATTGGAAGCCTGTCACCAGAAGGGTGGTAATCCTCTGACTAAAGCTACAACAGGCTAAAGCGTTGACCTTACTACCGGTCTATGCGCCCAGTTTATAGGGAGAATATGACACCCTCCTTGAGGCCGTGCATTGTGCTCTGTCCGAAGTACCGAATACAGAGTCACTCATACTCAGGGGCGATTTTAATGCGCATGTCGTAATAGACGCTGAAAACTGAAACGGCGTGATTGGAAAAAACGGCCCTAGCGTCTTCAACAATAGTGGCGTGAAGCTTTTCCGGTTTTGTGCAAACAATGGACTGTCCATTATGAAACCGTCTTCTAGCATCGAAAAGTGCATCAGTATATCTGGTACCGGGAAACTTGTGCACAGAAGTGATGATCGGTGACTTTAGACGCTCAGTCATGGATGCTCGCGTTAGAGCTATCAACCGTTCATCACCTTGTTGTCGGCACGCTGCGCTCTAAGAAATGGAGTATCATAAAAACACTTGGCAGAAGCAACCAGAGGATTAAATGGAAAACATTATCTTCGGTGGACTCGTGAGTGAAATTTGCAAACAACATCGCACTATGGTTTGAACAGATCCCGTGATGACCATTATGTGAAAACAGAGTGGCTGCTCTTTAAGAGTGCCATGCTCGAAGCTGTCGCCGAATGCTGCGGATTTAAACGGGTTGGCCTGCCACCTGGAGATCAGAAAAGATCTTTATGGTGGACACGAGAAATACAGCTAGTAGTTAAAGAGAAGAAAGTAGCGTTCAAGAAATGGCTTGGAAACAAAGAACCTTTTACTCGCGTGCGATATGTCGAAGCACGCAAGGCGGCAGCGAAAGAAGTGGCGAAACCTAAAGCCTGGGAGAAGTTTCGTGAATCTTTGGAGTCGAATTTCCACACGGCAAACAAGGTATTCTAGCAGACCGTCCGCCGGCTCCCAGGTGTAAACAAGGACGGATCTGGACATCCTCTTATCACGCATGATGATATTCTTCGGCGGTGGAGGGTATGCTTTAAGGAATTCCTTTATCCGGAGTACCCGCAGAAAGACTCGTCTGTAGAGGAGCAGGGAACGGATATTACTATCTCTGTAGATGAAACTACATAAGCTGTTAAACGCTTGAAAGACGGGAAGGCTGCCGGAATTGATGAAATCCGCCCTGAAATGCAGAAGGCATTAAGCGAACAAGGCAGTGTTGACTTATACTTCTCTGGACTTATACTTCTCTGTCATACTGCGATGACTGCGGGAAGGACACCAGCGGTCTGGAGAACGGGAGTTATTGTACTCGTATTCAAGAACGGAGGCCGCAAGGGATGCTTTAGTTATAGGGGCATTACGTTATTGAACCTCCCAGGAGAAGTCTGCGCAGAGGGGCTAGAAAGTAGGTGCCACGAAATAGTTGACCTGAAGATCCAAGACGAGCAGTGAGGCTTCGGGCCAGGTCCAAGCACCTCTGACCATATATTTGCCCTGCGCCGTAGATTGTGGGAGTATGCTCATCCCGTGTGCACGTATTTTGTGGACCTAGAAAAAGCCTATGACCTGATCCCACGCAACAGTCTGTGGACATGCCCTCGTGCATGCGGGATAGATGGCCAGCTGCTAAGGGCCATCCAATCACGACGTGGCGTGACCGGCATGCGTGTGAAGCCATCTAAAATGAAAAGCTAGTGCTTTCTCCCTCTCCCTCCAGTTGCTCTCTTCAGATTAACGGAGCGACAGTGGAGCAAGTTGATAAGTTCAAATACCTCGGAATTGTATTTACTAGTGATGGAAAATTGGAGGTAGAGATCGACGGGCGAATTGGAGTAGCCAGTGGCGTTCTGCGTAAACTGGCCCGATCCATTGTGACTAAAGCAGAGCTCAGTCTGAAAACTAAGCTCTCGATGTTCAAGTCGATCTTTATCCCCATCCTTATCTACGCTCATGAGTCGAGGACGATGACTGAAAAACTTCGAACTCGGGTACAAGCTGCTGAAATGGGTTTTCTTAGACGAGTCGCTGGCCTTACGCGTCTCGACATGGTCCGGGAGAGTGACATCCAGAAGAGCCTTTGTTGTACAGCCTTTGCTTCTCCAGATTGA